GCAATCCAGAAACTTGGATTGCCTTTCTGTCGCTGGACCTAGACGGCCTGTGATGCCTTAGATCCGCCGGCCCCAGTGCCGGTGCGTTGGGCAGAGCCAGCTGTCCGGTGCCAACCAGCTCTTGTAGATATGTAGTAAACGAATGCTTGTATCCAGCTTTGAGACGTAGACTTGCGCTACATGGCGGGAAACAAAATTGAGCGTAGGACAGGACACTGGATGTCATATGCACATTCCATGCCCTAGCTTGGTCACGTAGGCATGTCGTGACTTGCTGCCTGTTTCCTATGTGCAATTGTTTAGCTTTGGATCTGTTGTTCGGCCTTGCCTCAGTAGACTGACACATCCTTCGTCTGGTGTGGCGGTCTATTTCGTTTTAGGTGCTTCCATGCTTCATCGGTTTCTGTGTCCTTGTCGTTTCGGCTGCTTACATGTCACAGCAGCAAGCACAGAAATGATGGGACCGGTTGCCTGAACATGTGTGCGAAACCCTATCGACTGAAGACAATAGCATGCTTTACTTCTGGGCAGGGCTTATTGATTTGGTGTTCCCACTGCAAGACTGAAATTATTCAAACCATTGTTGCTGTTAGTAATGCTACTGTTTCTCACTGCCGGCTGGAGCTTGTCCTGTGACCGACCGTTTGGAGTTCAGCTCAACCAAGGTGTGAATCAACGAATGAGCCCTGAACATGAATCCTACGCCCTTGCGATGGCCCTTGGCCAAGCTACCCCAATAGACCCAATACTAGCCGCCCGAGCCTTCATCTTGAAGCCTCCAAATTTGTCCGCATGAGGTCCATGGCACACGCTAGAAAGCCTCCATTTCCGACACGCAAACCTAGTAGTTCGATTTGCGAAACTGACTATACCAGTAGCCTTCATCATGTGCCACACCTGGTCGCGCATGCCCAACTCCATTCCATGTTTGTCACCTTGAGCAGTTGACAGAACCCCTGCTGCAAAGCTACAGATGCTAAAGGGGATGGAGGCTTGTTGCATCCTCTATAGCTATGTGTTTGCGATTTGCTTTTAGGGCTGAGGTAGAGGGGTTGCTTTCTCTCTCCTTTGGGAATTGGTGTGTGATTGGTGTCTGCGCATTTTCAGGCAGATTGGCCGCACGAGATAGGGCGTGTGCTGCTAGGTTCAGAGCTCCTGTGACCGCTTGGAACATGCCTCGCCTGCGGTGTCCGAGCATAGGTGCCGATGTTTTTCGACCTCTCCTTAAACCTTAAGCCGCTACACCGTAAACCCTGAATTCCTCTTGGTCCGTGCACACAGCGGGCGATCTCGCCAGCATAAACCCTATATAAATCCCTGACGAAAGAACAGCAGAGTATGCTTTGCAGAGGTCCCTCCTACGACGGCGGGGCCTGCTGGAAGGGCTCCCCTCCTTACCTGACGCCGGCTTTGCCTATGAAGGGCTTGGGCTTGGGTTAAGATTTTCTGTTGGGGAAGCGGAGGTTCTGCCCATAATGTCGACCACTGGGCTCACTGGGCCTCTTCGTGCGAGTAGCAGTATCAGGTCCTGTCAACATCCGGAAAGCGGGCTCATGTGCTGTAAGATCTGCATCTAGCCTCGGGGAGATGAAGGCTCTGCTCTCAGAGGCACCAGCACAACCTTCTATCCCCGCGTCTTACTTTGGAGAAATGTGCCCTTGCTGCAAGCCCTGTGGGATCAGGTGTCGTTACTGAGCCCCTGTTGCTCGTCGACCTTCTTCTTGCCACTGGTTGCGTAGAGGTCGGTAGCGTACTGAAGTAGCATTCCCTTATGGTCGCAGTCCTGCTGTGGGTGTGGTCGCCCTCTAACCTCGCCCAAACCCTACTCAATTCTTAAGGCCTCCGTATGACCCTTCGTAGAATGCATCCACTGCCATACTGTCATGAGACGCTCGGCTCGGCCACATATGTCGAAGGCCTTCTGCACATTGTGCCTCTCTTCTTCGCCAGCCTGCTAGCTGAGGATGCGAAGACCATCCGGTCGATCTTGAACAGTGGCTTCGCTGTTCAGGCAAGGCAGCTTGTCAACCATGAGAGCTAGAAGTGCCATTCCTTTGCCGCAAGGTGAGGTCCATGTCGACGAACTTGATGTTCCTGTTTGCAGCTGCATGGCTGATCTGGCTGAGGAAATCCACAACATACCTTGCACACACTTTCGGATATTCAAACTGCCGTAATTAGTGTCGGTGGCAGAAGCAGCGGTCAGACAAGGTGCGAAGGGTCACGGCCATAGATCCATCGGGCGTGCAAGCGGCGGCTTACCAAGCAACGGCCTCAGCACGCGTGCCAGTGCCATGAGTCTCACGGCACGATAGAAGTCCGGAGCTTGCGGACAGTCTCCTCATGCCGAGCCACTCGAAGCCACCCTGTGAGACCTTTGACGCAAGCTTTCCAAGGTGACGCAGCAGTTCTGGAACCTGGGAGGACCTGAACCCCCCACCCGAAGCTGGAAATGCTTACTTAGTTAAAGGCTGAAAAGCCGCATTAGACGCGAGTCTCGAGTCTTAAGCAGCGGGAGTTGAACCTCAGCTCTACATTCCGAGACCCTCACCCAATATGAATACTATCCCCTATGGTCCCCTTTTACGGCTATATAGTATTACATACCCCCAAGCCTTGTTCTCATGTTAGCAGAAAAAGCATTGCCGGAGTGCGTGTGGCACCACTGTGTGCACATGCCGAACAATGTCGAAGCCAGCGATGAGGTGAAACTATCCGCTGAACAGTTGACTGTAGACAAGCTGCTAGGTCAGTCTGCCTTCCTATTGACACGAGAGCCATGTCATTTTACGTAGGCGGCCAGTTGTTACCCGACCCTCTCTTGCCTCTCCTGGAACGTTCACGAACTGACTCCCCGGACGCTTTCTGTGGAACCAAGCTGTCTCTGTCAATAAGAGGTGTCTTCCCAGCATTGACAGGCTACGAGGTAAGAAAACCATGTTGGCGTCAACCACACGGTGCTGATTTTTTGATTATGTGGAGGGTGGTGCACCCTGCGGACCCACAGAGGTAGTGTCTATTTTATTCCGTATGTTGTATAAACTTCTAGTTAATAGAATATTTGTTTCAATGATACACCCTGGATTAACGCGGCAGCCTCCACGAAGCCCCACGCCTTCCCGTGGTGGATTGTTGGGCTGGGGCGTTGGCCGGACGGGCTTAGCTGAAAGAATCTCGGAGAAAAACATCTGAAACAATGAAAACCGCCGGAGTTACGGACTTTGAGCTGAGGGATTCGGCTTGCTTTCCAAACAACGTGCCTCGGAAAGAAAATCCCAAGCAGACTAGGCACTGTAAGCTCTGGCGTTAGGGTGCCCACAAGTCTTTCGGATGTTTTACGGTTCTGCGGCCTGACCGGGACCCTCAAAAGGAGGTACTAGGACATCCCTGTTTAATCTGTTTCCGTGTCCGGATATTCAAAAATCGTTGCCCTAACAGCATTAATTAATGCGGGCGATGGTCTTTACACTCACACCGCTTGCCAATAGCAGCAACAAGGGTAACCACCTCATCTTCACCCCTCGTCACAGGATTCATTTCGCTGGCGCTGTCCTCTGCCGGTTCAGGGTTGGTCCCCACAAAGTACTGGGGACAGGGCCTCTTGCCAGAAAAATCTGCACACCTCAGGATTCAGGTTGAGTACCGTATCGGGTTTAGGCTTCGCAGGTTATATAGGTGTCCGGCGTTGGCCGCGGGTTCCGAAACTTGTACCAGTTGAAGTCCATGTGGACTCCCATTTCAGTAGGTTCTCTTGCTGGGTGCTGCTGAAGGTGAATGCTGCAGTTGACATGCTTGGCCTGTTTCGAGGTCTAAACAGGCCTGGGTGCAGAACAGGGACGCACGCTTGCGCCGCATAAGATCACTCTCAGACAAAAGGGTGGATGTGCACCGGATCGGGGAATCGTCAGTATGACGATAAACAAGCTGAGGTGTGGATGAGGCACGGCATTTGGCAGACAGCATCCTGGCTTCGATGCGTCGCTTTCAGGGCGCAAAGTGATAGTAAGCTTTTGTCATCCAGCATGATTGTTCCTTTGTTTTTCTGAAGCCCTGAACCCTGGGCAAGTGCACCATCAATCTGTATCACTCCGACCTGCGCTATGGAACCTCGCCTGGCTTGTCCGAGTTGTGAGAGCATAAACCCTTGTACGAGAGTGAGAGTCGAAACCCAGACAGAGTTTCTTCCTTGCCAAGCAGGCGGCAGAAATAGGGCCCAAAAAACACTTAAGCCAAAGCACTGAAGCCTTCAATACTGAAGTCGCTAAACCCTCAAAGCAAAGAGTTGAAGCCCAAGTTCGGAACAAATCGAGTACAATGCCATCTCTTGAATTATGGTTCCTATCTAAGTTTGTATACGATAGTGCGTATAGTCTATAGAATACTCTCGTATAACCCGAAATCACGATGACGCCTACATGAAACATCTGCAGAGGCACCTTGAGGATTGAGTCCCAAGCCCATCAAGCTTTACAAGTTGAGAGGTTCGTAGAAGGATTGAAGAGATGCAGTCAGCTGTCCCGAGGATTTGGCATTTTCAAAGGCTAAGGACTTCTTAGTCTTAAGGGGCCCCATCAAGCAGGGTCTTCTGGCTTCTGACACTCCCCTTCGGGAAGTTGCCTGCAACAGTCTAATATAGGGGCCTTAACAGTTAGAAGGGGGTTTGGGGTATACCCCAAATCCTATTCTAATTATTCAGGCCCCTACATTATGTGCAGGTGCTTCTTCTCCGAACCTGTCAGCCTGAATCCTCGAACAGCCAAAGGACTCTTTCTTTGGGGCTGCTGCCTGGGGATATGCCTCTGCGGCCTGCAGCTTTTATCGCTGCCGCTGGTTGGGTTCATGGCGCCAATTAAGGCAGCTGCAGTAGAGAGTGTTTGGGCAACTGTCGACAAGAACAACAGCTATCATGGCAACAGTGGTTCTCATGACTCAATCGGTTAAGAATAAGAAGAACAATAACAGCAATGACAATAAAGCTCATTTGGCTGCTTGTACAGTCTAAGTCTAAGTACTGGATAGCTATTAGGCTTTGGGATCCTTGGGTCCTCACTGAGCTTCTTTCCTAAATCCTTGACCAATAAACATGCAAGTGCAGATGAGTGGAAGCCTTTGCCTTTCACAGGCTTGATGCACCTGAACCCTATCCCCTAAAGCCTACTGCCCGGCCTAGCTAGGTGGGAGGCCAAAAGGCAACAAACAAAAAGAACACAACAAAGCAACTACTGCCCTGCGAGGCCGTTCAGCAGGCCGCGAGGGCACCAGCGACCACTGGCGAAAGTCAGAGTTTTCGGAGTTGTCTTTCTGGGGAAGCCTCCAGTGCGGTAAAGCCGTGCTTGAATGAAGACAAGGCAAATACACTATATAATTTCTGTATATTTTTTAGCCCAAACTTGGCCATATGTATATATATATATATCATACTACAAGATCATACTCAAATCCTATCACACTGTCTGATTGCGAGCTGTATCCCGAGCTGTTCCTCTGACCCAGTGTGGGAATCCACCCTTTGGACCTCACAAGCCTTGCCTAGAATTGAATGCTCGCCGCAAGAGAACTCCGAACTCCCCAAAAGTAGGGCATAGTGTAAACATTGGTTGTAGCATGACAACACATCACAACGTCAGGAATACCAGCAACAATGCTGGTGATAGCAATGGATGAAAACACGCTGACCCCTTGCTTTCTTGATATTCGAATGAGATTGAAGTGAGTCGACCTAAATCTGGAGCCAGCTTTTGAAGGTTTAGGATTTGTACCGTCTTTAGAGGTCTGGCGTTTTAGGGTTCAGGCACCCGTGGTCGAGGCAAAAACTGGTTTGGGTGCTCCTGCGTGCGATCATGAGCAGGAGGCCCCTCACCCCCCATGCTTTGATGAATAGCCCCATCAAAACAAGCAATTCGCAAGAACAGCTCCCCTCCGCCAAACCCCAACAATCCTGAACCCCAAACCTCAAAGCCTGTCCTAGTGAAATCTTGATAAAACCTTAACCCTACTGAAACGGTAAACTTCAGGAGCCAGCAGTTTCATAAGAAATCTCTGCTTTCATGCTCTGGGCCAGCTAATCGAAGCAGGAAGGCTTCAGGAAACCCTAAAACCCTTTCGTCTCCGCCGACAGCCGCCTTTCCCAGCAACCAAACTACCCTGCTATGTGGGCTAGCGAAGCAAAGAAGCCCCAATTTTCTTGTACTTGAAACACCAAACCTCAAGGTAGACACAATGTAAACCTTTCGATTTTATCAGGCCTTCAAGCAAACTTGGCTTGAATCTGAGTGGTTTCAATTCGGGGCAAAGCGCAGCCTAGATTACTTGTAGTCTTGGTCCTTTCAAAAGTAGTCTTGGCCCTGAACCTTGGCCTCAGACCGCAAAAACAACTTGCTGTAGATGTGGGTTTATTCATCAGCTTATTAGCATAGGTGTTACGGTTCGATTCGGTACGGTTGGCGTTGCCTGCGGCTTTTTTGGGGGATATGCCTGTCGGTGCGGTGCGGCTCGGCGCTGCCACCCACCTCCCACCTATCACCTCCCACCTACCACCTCCCATCCCTCCCTCTCACCTTGCCCCCTCACCTCCCCTCCTCCGGCGGGTGGGGGGTGGGAGGGGGGAGGCAGGAAGGGGCGTGAAAAGTGGGAGTGGAGGAGGGGAGGTGAGATGGGAGGTGGGGGGGAGAAGCAAGAGAGGTAATCTGTGGTGGGGTGGGAGGGGGAGAAGGGGGAAGGAAAGCTACCGTGTAGGAGGTGAGGTGGGAGGGGTTCGGTTTGGTGCGGTCCCAGATGTTGCGGTTCGGTTCGATACGGGAGCGGGCGGTTCGAGACGATACTCGGCGAAAGTATTGTTGAATCGGCCATGATCAATCAGAAGCGCAGGTTAAGCCCTAAGCCCCAAAGCGTGCCACATCAGGCTGGTAAAGTCCATTCACAGACCTCTCGAGTGCTGCGGACGTTGCGCGAACTCCTGCGGCTCAAGACTCCAAGCTGAAAAGCTCACAACTCCGTGGCGACAGTCCGTGCGTTGACTGCGAGATACAATCGCACCCTCGATGATGTTCACGGCCGCCGTTGTCGTCCTCATCAATTTTGTTTCGTGCATATCGGAGGAACCTCCATGGGAGGTGATGCCGCCAGATCATCCGTCATTTCAGCACCTTACGTTTCTGGAGGTTCTGCATGTGGAGCAGGGGTCGGAGAGGAGGGTGGAGCCAAAGACAGACACGATTTTGCGGCGGATGCCCAGCCTGGCAAACCTGGCTGTCCAGGGCCCTCATATAATTCTTCAGGCTTTGATGGGTTTCGAGCTGCCGGACGCGTTAAAAAGCAAGCAGCCTGGCTGTCCTCGGAGATGCACCTTTCAGCTTTTGTTGATTCCGGGGGAAACCCTGCACCCTAAACCCTAAACCTATAAGGCTTTACACCCTAAGATGCAGGTACGAAGATGACGCGACCTTGGGTAGCGGCACCTTTGGCGTTACTTTCCTGGCCACCAGGAAAGCCGACAACCAGAAGCGGGGCTTTCATGGTTTATAGGCATTTTTGGGTTTAGGGTTTAG